TCACTTCTGCAGTTTGGAAATGCAGTAGAGTTTCTCTCATTTTAACACAAAAAATGGCAAATTTAGCAACCCATTTTTTCACTTTTTAGAGGTTAGACTGTATGTCTTTTTTTTTATTATTGACCAAATACACTTTTGCTTGTTCCTTCTCTTGGGTACATTTCCCATGACTTTCTCCACCAGAACTAGGATATGCAGTAGATTGTTGTTCGTTTTAACAGACAAAATAGCAAATTTAGATGGCAACCCATTTGTTTTAGTTTTCTGGGGTAAGACTATAGCCTTATGTATTTTTTTGATTATCGACAAGGTACATTTTTTCTTGTTCCTTCCATTGGGTACATTTTTGACGACTTTCTCCACCATAACTATGAAATGCAGTAGATTTTCTCTTATTTTAAGAAATAATAAAGTGAACTTAGATGGCAGCCCATTTTTTCACTTTTCGGAGGTAAGGCCTAAGGTAAACATGATAGTTTAGTACCGGTCGTATTGATTTCTTTTGCATTTTTAATCAGGAGTCGGCTGTCTGTGGATGGGAACTCAGTCTGGCTCTTTTAGAGTATTTTTCATCTCACACTTTGTAGTCTTTAACCCTATTTGTGCTCCAAAGGATGGAACTTCTGCTGCATCCATCTTATCGTGAATTTTTACCACAGTCCTATTTAGTTTTCTGCTTCTTTAAATTGCCATTTGTGTTTCTTTTCACTTCTTTGCTACCAATTCTCATACAAAGAACACTCCAGATAAAGCTTGTGGAAGCCTCCGATATACTCAGTTACCTTTGAGATTGTGACTGTTTTTCATTTACATTACATTTAGGCATTTCGTAGACAATCTTATCCAGAGCAACTTACATATTTCACAATATCCATTTACACAGCTGAAGCAATTCAGGCAAAGTACTTTGCTTTAGGGTGGACTGACAGTGTCTTAGCTTCATCTTATACTACACTGTCACCCATTTAACGCACTCTTTATTCATATTGGCCTGTACCAAGAAGCTTGCTCATAAGTACTTGTAGAGTGAAGAGAGGGAATGGAGGCCACTTTCACTGGCATACTCGGATCCATCAGATCGTTATATAAATGGATGTGATAGCCTAATTGTATGTACTCTAAGTTTAAGTAAGTGTGCCAGTTCGCTTGACATAAAGATCATTGCATCTTCATTGTTCTTGCTTTTGACTGATGCTGATAAACAAGGGCAGTGTCTGTTTAATGTGAAACAGCATGTGGATGAAATAAATGACAGAGCAGATTAAAAAGACAGGATAAACAAAGGACAAAGTTATTCAAACCAATGGAAGGAAATGCTGGTAGCATTGCCTTTGAGTACTGCTTGCTTAATTTCTTTTTTTTGTGACTACTGTAGTCTACTGTAGTGTAGAAGACCTGCTTCATATGACAAAAACACAAAACCGTTGAATGTTTAAGGGTAAGGACAACATACTCTACAATACAATGACAGATTAATGAAATGCCTTTTTAGTTTCTATAACATTGTTGCATAATTTTATTTACTATATCTATCTTGTCTTTAAATTAAATTTGGTGAATTTTTTTTGATGAACAGCAGCCAACGAAAGATTAAAGCTGGGTGTTTCACAATGACCAAAATTCGTTATCATTTGAGACGATCCATTCATTACTTACTCGGCTTCATTTTGTTTTCAACAGTAAGATTTCAGGATGTAGAAACAACATGTTTGAATATATCAAGGTCAAACGCTTCTGCATATATGAGAAATGTAGTTCTTGTGTGTTGAAAAGACTGCTGGTCTATGGCCAGTTTACTCCTAAAGCCCTAGCAGACGAACCAACAAGAAATGAACAAATATCGGGTTGTTTAATTAAAGAACTCTGACAAATAGACTCACGGTCTCAACAGGTGTCAGGTTCTCACTGTTATTTGCTTTGGCCCAGATTGCTTTGTTTGCCAAAAAGAGAATAAACAGTGAGCTGACCCTGAAGAAACAGCTGACAGGTAAAAAGAGCAGCGGTGTGGGAATCATTTGCATATATACTTGGAGAAACTTAATAGGAGCTACAGATGCCAAAATGCATTTTACATGAATAATAAAAATTTCAAGCGTCGCTGGCGCATTACCTTGAACCCAAGTGAGCTCTAACTACAGTTGCGCACTCCATAAATCCCCCCCTTAATTAGTCAGACAAAGCCACTGTCATGCACTTTTGCTAAAAGCTTTTTTTCTCAAATAAAAGTCCCGGAATAAATTACTTGTGGGTCACTTGAAATCAACACGCCTTCGGATTTTCAATGTTTGGACTTGTTCATACTCCGACATGGTCTGTCCATGTTTTTCAAAAAAAAAAAAAACAAATCATAAATAAATTAATGTGTACTAAATCATTAAGTAGTGACCTTTAATTTGACACCTGGACAGTCACATTATAGCATATGCAAATTTATTTCCTGAACAAACCAGTTGAAGCAATCAGTCTAATTAATTATTGCTACAATACTATTTCACTAAACTTTTACATACTTTTTGTTTTTTATATACCAGTTTTTTATGAAAGCCACAACGGAATGAAAGAAATATATGAACCACGCTCTATATATAACAAGCCGATTACATAATGTTTTAAAGACAATACAAGTGTTCAGCACAACAGATGGCAAATTATCATGTTAGCTGTGATGAGGAGCAAGACAGCCAAGATGTATGTGAAAGTTAACCTTATAGTAATGCATCGGGGTGTTAGATTTTCTGCGGTAGCTGTCATGTCAGCCTTCGAAATCACACCTTTCAGAATTGGAACGCAGCATTCTTGGATAGCTTCTTAAAAGGGAAAGACAGGGACATTTTGCGACTCATTATATGAATATTCCGTGTGAACTATTATGTGTTATTATGAGCCGTTCTCCTCTTGCGAGAGGCACAATAGTTTGAAAACTGAATTCAAATGTTCTGTGAATTGGGGGAATTAATGCATAATTATGTGGTAAAATGTCTTCCTTTCTGTCAATACTTTGTCTTTGCGAGTACAGAAAATAAGTGGTTGTCTTGATTATATGATTTCAAGTTATAATTTATACTTGGTGGTTTTCCAGACTCCCTGTCAGTGTATGCAATGATTCTTAATGGTGATGGCATGTATGTAGTCACATATTTATGGTTCAGCTTCTAAAGGTGCTTGTCGCAAATGCAGGCCAGGTTCTGAAACCAGCACTTAGCATGTTTAAGTCACACTATATTATTTAGCCTTCAATGATAAAGTGACTACAGTATCATGACATTTAGCGTTATCCTACAAAGACTGTAATCGTGTGAAGTCAGGCAGTTTCTCTGGTGAGTACAATACTAGTTTCTCCCAATGAAATGCCAAATTCCCACAGGCTACCGCCTGTCACCATGAGATATGTCTCTATACTGTATTGAAAAATATGGTGGAACCATAACAGCAGTCGTGGAAATGGGAGCGTATTTGATTTAGTCGCCATAAGAAGTTTTTGCAAGATAGGGAGGACTTGGATGGCTGGCTTTTATGTACATTCCTGGATGCATAGTGCAGCGTTCTATTTTTGAGGTGTGATTTTTAAACCATGGTTTAAAACCATGGTTTCCATGGTCGATTCCTTCACACAACGCTTCTACGACATACGAAACCCCCCCTCATTTAAATAAGCGTTTTTTGTTGATCACCCACAAAGAGTGAAATAGTAACAGGTACATCCATTTTGTGTACATATGCAAATTCAGCACCCTTTATTTCGGATCTCAATATATCAATCCCCAAATGTGTTTTTTGAATCTACCCTTAGTATTCTTGCAAAGATAGATAAACAATTTCGTAATTTCTCAGAAAATACACTTTTCCCCCAGTAAATTAACCATGGGTGGTGTTGAAGAAATCAATAGCCCAACCATCTGGAAAACCCGTTTGTAATGAAAATTTCAGGACTCCGATAGAATCAACAAATCCACCTATCACTACGGCATATTCCTTTCACTCTGAGCTACTGTATGCCGTCTCTAAACACTGAAGACTTCGCGGCTCGATGAGCTGAATGCATTTTATTCAGACAGATATACTCAGAGCAACGCGTGGTTAACAGGTAAACAACTACAGCTGGCCCTTTCAATTAGTTTAGCCCATTTTCCAAGGTCTGCGTTTTTCACTTTGCTGCTGTATGGGAGTACATTAATGTAACAATCCCGATCTCCACGTAGCTCATCATCTTGTTAAAAAGGACTCCATTTACAGTAATTATATAAACTGTTATGGTTAATGCTGTGATCCCATCATTTTAAGTCCATTACTGCCCATTAAGGGAAATATGAAATAACTCTTGCTGTTCTCCCCGTCCCCTCATTTTGTTTGGGGAGGGACTATTAGCAAGCACAAAGACATGGGGATCGTAACTGAGATCACTCTAACTTCTTGAGCCCAGTCAACATCTCTGCTGTAAGAAGCTGTAAATCATACTTGCATCCAGTAGAAATGTCTTCTGCTTTTCGCATCCTACAGCGACTGTTGTTTTCTTCTTCACCTTTGAGTATGAGCCTGGGAAAAATGTTATGAAATTATAATTGCCCACAATTGTATAAATTGAACAAACATGACCAGCGGTTGTGTAAGAGTGTCTTTCTGAAGCCCTGTTAGCTCGGTGAGCTTTTCCTATGCACATATGTGCTTAATTATAGTTCTTGTTCAAAGAGATTGTACATAGTAGTTTGTCAATGTCATTACCATTGTCATTGGCGTTGGTAACAGTGTCATTACCATAACCTAATGCCTGCCTGTCACAATAACTGGGGACAGGAATGACTGGAGGACCTGCTACCACAAGCAGGTAGTTTTAAGTGTGATTAGAAATGTGTTTAGCAATTTTACAAGTGTGTTCAGAAGAGGGTGAGGTCACTGAAACTTCAGCTGGTCCCTGGGATTGTTTCCAGGTGAGTGGGGCACCGTGGGGCTGGTCTGTCCAGGCGGTCAAACAGTTTTGTAGCAGAATAGAACAACAGTGGGCAGCAGTGCAGTACAATGGTTAAAGAGCTGGCCTTCCAAGTCAGAGGTGGGGGTTCAATTCCCAGGTAATGCGCTGCTGTACCTTTGAGCAGGGTACTTAACACAAATTGCTTTCCGTAAGAAATACTCGGTTATATAAGTGGGTATAATGTAGGAATGCAAACTGTATAAGCTGCTTTGAATAAGATCATCTGCTAAATGTAAGAAAAAGAGTACGCCTTTAATGCAGTAACCTGGGGTATTGAGCCTCTCTTTCTGAACTGAACTGCCTCCTCTTCTTGTGTTGCCATTTGCAATCACAAAATGAGACAGCTGCACGTTCATGGAATTTCCTTCAGCCTGCTGCATTTCAGCACCGGACAGCTCCCATGCTGCAGGCAGGAGGGGAGAAACACAATGGGACAAGTTCTGCCCGGGAGCTGTCCAGCATGCTGAAAGAGCCACACCATGCATTGCCACACCATCATAACGCATTATGTCCATGTATAATTAAGACATGTCCTCTTTATGATTTCATCTGCTGTTTATGCAATTGAGCAGTTGTCATAACAATCTGCACGGAACACTCAGTGGAGCAGGGGTGTCAAAACAAGGCATTCAACATGATATATGGAAATTGTCATGTCAAGTTCTTCGTGCTGTTGTGTGACAGTTTGTTAAACTGTGATACCTCAAGAAAAAACCATCCCATCATGAGTTGATGGTGTTTTACACATGGGTTGGAATGAGGTCATCTACCATTGGTATGTCATTTTTAAGCCATTTGCATATGGTCCCATCAGGTGAACATCGTCTCATTAAGGCAGTGTCTTATCATATTGTAATGCAAGTGCCATTTGTACTGTCAATACTCATTTTAAGAAATGTTGTGACTACCAAATAGACATAATGTCATTCAAAATGTCAGTTTATTGTTAAAAAATAATCACTTCACTGTAGCCATCCCATCATTTTAAGCTCAAATTGCCCATTAAGGGAAGCATAATATGACTGGAGTTTCTCCTTGTTCCCTATATTGTGTTGGGAGAGGGATTATCACTGCAGACAAAAGGGGCCTCTTGCCAGCTCATATAGTATTCATTCATTCTACGAGGTGCTCCAAGGTGCTCAGTCACAGCCTTGCCAGAATGAGGTCCACGGTGGTGAGGCAACAACTAGACTCACTGGGGTAAAATGGGGTCAAGCTGGTAAGGTTTGTTAGTCTCATCGCTCTCTAGCAGCCACTCCTGGTCAGCTGGGTCCCTGCAGATATATGAACTGAGTGTATAATGACTTTGTCATCGTCCAACAACACAGGTAGTATGTATTTGGTGGTATGTCCGCAGTTTCAAAGAGGCGCGGGCCGGCCAGCGTGAATCAGAGGAGTCGCATGTTCATGGCCTCCTCCTCCTGAAATTGCGGGAGACAGGTGCAGCGGGGGATTTTGTTTGGTTGAGTTCAGGGCAAGAGAAAAATGAGATAAAATCCAAAATAAAGGCACAGGGCACACAAAGGTCTGAGTATTGTAACTGAGATTACTTAAACTCACTCAGCTGAGATCACTGTAAGCCCATGCTGACTCTAGCCAAGGTCTTTTTGCTTTAAAAACTCAGCCAAACTCCATTTATCACAAAAAATCCCTTCAGTTTCATACCAAAGTTCACATGCAGCCATGATTTCTTATTCAATCAAAAGAGTGTTTTGTACTGATAAGAAATAACAAAAATGATTTTTGTGTTGTTTGGAAGTTCATATTTGAAAATAGGGGATGGATGATTTGCCGACAAGTATCTGAAATGAGAGTTATAACTCTCCAAACGATAGCGCCCAACTCTGCCTGTCATAACACAAGTCTGTCTTAACATGATTCATTCTACATCAGGAGGCCGCCAAATGTGTATATAGCAATAAAATACTGTATAATTTATTTATTTAATCAGTGTCTTGATGCAGAATGAGCTAGGTTGTGAAAACCTAGCTGAGCAACAGTCACCTGGTTATAATCGGGACTAGAGCTACACAGCTGATAACAACAATAAACATTTTGGACAAAAGGCCAAAAATTTCAATTGGATGATGAACTTCAGTTCAGTCCAGCGGCTGGTGTCTGCAGCTCTGTTTGTTATTCACCTGCTTAATATATCAAAAGAAGAGTGGAAAGAGACAAAAATATCTGAACAACAATGAATCGTTATTAATATTCCTTATACATGCACATGCCCTTGACCGGATTCAGAATACGTATTAAAAATCACAGCACCAGCTAGGCCCAAATTAAAAGGGAAAAAAAAGAATAAAAACACATCTGCTGTCAAAATTATGCCACAATGGACATGTCATGTTTCGGCTGCAGCACAATACAGCGTGGCCCTAATTTATGAGCGAGGCAAAGAAAACTGCCGCGGGATAATGGGTTTCGTTCAGCTCATTAATTACATGGCAATTAGGTAAACACATCTACTCCTTAAGGCTGGTTTTTTCTTTCTGTCTTCACAAATGTGTGCATCTTATTGTGTGCTAAAATCCCTGAGTCACCTACTAATGTGCCAAGGCAATGTTGATGCTTCCTCTGCACGACTTTATTCTATAGGAGGGAGGGAGGGAGGTGAGGGAGGGAGGGAGGGAGGGAAAGCAGGAAAGACGGAGTCAGTTTTTTTTGTTAATGTATCTTATGAGAGGGGTAAATCTTCTCGTTCATTCAAGCCAAATCTGTTTCTCTCATTTTATCGTCCATTATCCGAGCTCTCCATCACTCTCATTCTTTGTCTTGCTATAAGTAAAATCCCCCATCATCACTGAATATATTTAGTAGGATTATGACAATGATGGTATGTATCAGGAGCTAGCAACAAGCTATTGTATATCTCCATCCACACTGGTATATGTTACAACACAGATGATGCTGTAGGACAAAAGTCTTACAAAGATTATAATAATCTCTGGTAGTGCTTGTATTGAGGTTTAATGGTACATAAGGTACTTGATCTCTCTGCTTTTCTAAACAAAAAAAACAAATGTGGCTATATTAGCCGTTCAGGATAATGATTTTGCCTGTGTAGTCAGTAACCATTTGTTCACATGTAGCTAACATGGTAGCTACCACACATTTTGCGAGTATAGGCAAAGCTGTGTGAACCTGCAACATATGAGGTGCCAGTCACTGATGAACCAGTAAGATGACTTTGAGCAATAGTTCATTTAAATGATATACCATAAAGCCTCAATAATCTTGGTGTTAACCAGTTGTCATACAGTTTGTGACATAGATCGCAACCCTTAAAATGTATGCAGTGACCATTGCATTTACATAAGGCCGACAATCTTATCCAGAGTGTCTTACATAGTTTATATTCGTTACATGTTATGCTACCCAGGTTTGTTGTGTCTTGAGTTATGTTGTGTTTATAGTTGAGTTATGCAGGCTAAAAACATAGAATAAGAATTTATATTTATTATACAACAGCAGTGTAGATTTATTGGTTTTGATTAGAGAGCTCAACCCTCTCTGTCGCTCTTGAGCCTTTGGTCTTTACCCATCCAAAATGTGACTTACTGCCAATGTGCCTTCTGTAGTAGGAATTAGCATGTGAGTCAATCCACTTCTTAATTAAATAACCCTAAACTTCTATACAGTGCTGATCGATACAATCTATGGGATAATAATCTCTGCGAAATAGAAGTGAAAGGTAGACAGTTACTCTTTGAGGTTTGATTTCAAACCGTCTCCATTTTCAAATCAATTTTCAAATCAATTGTGCCACTTCCAATTACTCTGAAATATTTGCTCCTGCAACGATTGGGGATTAAAATATTTTACTCCAAAGCCGCTGATATTTACCTTCCAAGATAAGAGTAGCTTCAGATTTCCTGATGCAAGTAGAATCAGGTAGTTGCTAAAGAACGTGTCTAAGGCTGTGTAAATGTATGTTTTAAAGCCCCAGCGACATTTTACAGTCATTAAAACTTGCAGCGGTGACTTTGTACCATTCATTGAGTGTGAAGTGCTGAGAGTAGATGAACAATTCGCATCAGGACTACGCTTATACTTTTAAATGACAGATTTCTTAAAATATTCAGCAGTTTGACATTTTCGGCATTGTTGTTTTGCTGCAAAAAAAAAAAAATCCATTTGTCATGGAATCAGCAGCTGTAAACACTTGGATGGTGGTGGGCCAACCAACGGAATCCCCCAATGACAGCTTCTGCTTCAGTGACCGCATACTTGCTTTAATCTACAGGATGGACGGATGACAAACAATGGCTTTTTCCTATGGCTTTTGGTGGACTTAAATGACATTAAGCCTGTCTGTTCTGCTGAGCATGAATGGAACCCCTGTTCCAGAACGTTGTTTGTTCCAGAATTATTTGAATAAGCGAAAAGCATCCAAACCACTGTCAAAGCAGTTTACAGATACTCTTTCACAGACTTCTGATATGTTTGTACTTCCCATACACAGAGCTGGCCCTCACTTCCACTCACAATGAACCATTATGACCACATTTATCAAAGCTATAGGCGCATCAAAGTTTTTTCACATGCAATTTCAGTCATATGATTTGTGATTGGTGCAAATTAACTACCTTAGCCAATCATGTGCTCTCCTATTTTTTTTTTGAGTCAGCAAGACAGGTTTCCATACAAAATACCTTAGTAAATCATGAATGTCATTTCACAGGAATATAAACAACCAAACCAGTGCCCTTCTATGATTTGAACTATATTAGTGAACTGATACACCTTTAGATCCCTGTTCACGCAGCTCCGAACCTGGACTCCACAGCAGTCCGTTACGTGATGCTGTAAATCTATTCACCCCTTTCTTCCTACACCGTAATTTGGCCACCATGAAACACTGACCCCGGTCCGGATTTGTCAATGTGATAACAGTCCTGACACCAACCAATCATTAGAAATAATGTTTTCTGAATGGTTCCTGAGACCTGGGCTTGTAAATGTCGCTGGTGCCATTCCCATGCATGGCACTCCCGTTTTACCCTCGAGGAGCATACTTCTCAATGTAAGGCAGTTTAAAATATTATAGCAAAATAGAACAGTGTAGCAGAGTAACATTGTCTTATTTATAATATCAAAAA